TTTTTCTTTTTTGTTTTTTAAAATTAATCTCTTTTTTTAAAAATTGTATGTGTGTATTTCTGCAATTTTAACTCAAATTGCCTTTCAGGGTTCAATATTTAAAAAGTAATAAATTTTATTATATCTATGTCATGCAGAAAGTTATCGTTAAAAAATGACTGAACTTCCTCCCAGGACGTGAGTTTTTGCCCACGCTACGAGGTGGCGCTGTCGTGTGACGCAGCGGGGAACCTCATGGTCACTGTACCGCCGTTGACCCGCTTTCTGACTCGCTCCAAACTGATGCACATGATGTATCTCAAGATTGTGCCCACTGCTGTAAGTCAACAACTGGGGTCTCTTCCTTCGTGCTGTCATTTGTGAAAACCTGTTTTTGTTCACCTAGAAGGGAGCTCTTGTGCTGTAAAGGCCCCAAATTTTGATTTTTAAAAAATGGTATTGCAGTTTCTTTATTTATGATATCTACTGCATGTGCTCAAGGAATAATTTGTGAAAATTCAAATTCTAAAAGTTGAAAAAAGCAAGAAATAAAGCATAATTTAAATGAAAAAAAGAAAGAAATGAAACAGTTTTTTTTCTCGTCTGAAAAATGTTGGGTTTTTAAAAAATGTGTACAGTTATTTAGCTTGCCAACGATGTACATAATCCCTCTGGCTTGCCCTGACTGTTGGGAGGATAACATCTGAACTTCTACGGAATCCAAATTGCGTTGATGTGGGTGTAAAAAAAAATGTACAAGCAGTCAGTGTTATTGGTTTGTTGTGTGTAACCGTGACTGTTTGCAGAACACAACACGCTCAAACAACAGAACACATGTGACAACACATCCAACAACAGAAACACACCCTGTAATGGCTTACATCTTCCCCCCCTCCCTTCTCTCCCCTCCCCTCTTTTCAACAGCTGGTCTACAAGGCTCGGCTGAAGGCACAACAGACGTCGGAACATCGTCGGGAGGCTGCGGCGAGCACATCGGCCACTGACGGAGAGTCTCAAGAGGCGGAACAGGACCCAGGGGGTGACGTCGCAGAACGCACACTGCACTTCCGGAACATTCCCGTGGTAGGTACTGGGTTGTCAGAACATTCCCGTGGTAGGTACTGGGTTGTCAGAACATTCCCGTGGTAGGTACTGGGTTGTCAGAACATTCTTGTGGTAGGTACTGGGTTGTCAGAACATTCCTGTGGTAGGTACTGGGTTGTCAGAACATTCCCGTGGTAGGTAGTGGGTTGTCAGAAGGGAACAAAGCTGTGGTGCAGCGGTTAGATGCTTTTGCTGTCGCACACAGGAGACCCGAGTTTGATTCCCACTTGGAACAAATTTTCAATTTATTGAGTGTCTCGGTCAAAACATGTACATTCATGAAAAAGAGAAGCTACCACACTCTCTGGTTCCGCCACTCTCCATGGCATACCCTCTGAACTGTGACGTACACATTGGGACTGACTCACACATACATTTATGTTGTCTTGCACTACTGCACATATTTACACACATTCACACACTCACACTTCCACACAAACACACACACACTCACACACCTACACACACACACACACACACAAAAATAAACACATGCCCTCACAAAAAAACACACACACACATAGTATCACTGCTCAAGATGTCTACTCTTCTCCCCCCCACCCCCTTCCTCCTTCCCCCCCACCCCCTACAGACCAACTCCTTCAAGTTTCCAACTGACCGCAGGTCAGATCTCACCCTGAACGACACGGAACCTTTGGGAGAGAATATTCAGGCTGTCCACAGGGTAGGTCTTATGAGCCACTTGTTGGCTTTATTATCTCCATGTATTTCTCTTTACTCTAATACATGTCTTTCTTTTTCCCAGCAAAAAGTAGCTGTTCGCACACTTCTATTTTTTGCCCAAACTGAGTCCCACACTACACATTACTGACACAGCTGCGCTGCACACTGTATCAAAGACCAGAGATCATGAATCTGACTTGTAATTTTTCTTCAGTTCGACACAAAAAAAATAAGAAGTAAAAATAATATATCTGTAAGAGCGTGAATCTTAATATCCTTTTTTTCTCAAAATTTTGCGTCATGGACTTAGAACCCTGTCATTTTAAGGGCATGTGTTATTTTGTCGACGTGTTTCTCTGTATTGAAACAAATATGTTTTACTGCCCAGCACTAAATGACTGTTATTGTTCCAGTGTGCTTCTCTGTATTCAAAAATTGTCTTGTGTTTTAGAAACGCTAAATGACTATTGTTGTTGTTGTTGTTGTTGTTGTTGTTGTTGTTGTTCTTCTTCTTCTTCTTCTTCTTCTTCTTCTTCTTCTTCTGCTTCTGCTTCTGCTTCTGCTTCTTCTTCTTCTTCTTCTTCTTCTTCTTCTTCTTCTTCTTCTTCTTCTTCTTCATCATCTTCGCCTTTTTCTTTTGCTGTTATTATTATTGTTATTATGACTATTACAACGTTTATTATTATTTTATGTTATTATTTTTGCATTATTGTTATTATTATTATTAATATAACTATCACTTTGTTTATTATTATTATGTTATTTTTGCATTGTTATTATTATATTATTATTATTATTATTATTATTATTATTATTATTATCATCATTATCGTTATTGAGCCACAAATATTCCCACTCCCAACTGTTGTGTTTCAGGCTCGGCTCAACCCGAACCGGTCGTCGTGTCTGTGGGCTGTGAGCGGCGGCCAAGCGGGTCTGCTGCGCCTGGACAACCTGTTTGGGCTGGTCAGTCCACGCTGCAGGGACGTACGCGACCTTCTCAACTGATTAAGGTCGTAGCGTGTTGAGACGTACGCGACCTTCTCAACTGATTAAGGTCGTAGCGTGTTGAGACGTACGCGACCTTCTCAACTGACTAAGGTCGTAGCATGTATGGACGTACGCGACCTTCTCAACTGACTAAGGTCATGGAATGTATGGACGTACGCGACCTTCTCAACTGACTAAGGTCGTAGCATGTATGGACGTACGTGACCTTCTCAACTGACTAAGGTCGTAGCATGTATGGACGTACGCGACCTTCTCAACTGATTAAGGTCGTAGCATGTATGGACGTACGAGACCTTCTCAACTGACTAAGGTCGTAGCATGTATGGACGTACGCGACCTTCTCAACTGACTAAGGTCGTAGCGTGCAGGGACATACGCGACCTTCTCAACTGATTAAGGTCGTAGCGTGTTGAGACGTATGGGACCTTGTCGCCTGATGATTACAGTCTTAGTGTTGCCAGGACGTACACGACCTTCTCACCTGATTACGGTGTCAACGTGCAGGGACGTATGGGATCTTCTTACATGATGATTACAGTCTTAGCGCTGCCAGGACGTATGGGACCTTCTTACATGATGATTACAGTCTTAGCGCTGCCAGGACGTATGGGATCATCTTACATGATGATTAGTCTTAGCACTGCCAGGACGTATGGGACCTTCTTACATGATGATTACAGTCTTAGCGCTGCCAGGACGTATGGGATCATCTTACATGATGATTACAGTCTTAGCGCTGCCAGGACGTATGGGACCTTCTTACATGATGATTACAGTCTTAGCGCTGCCAGGACATATGGGATCATCTTACATGATGATTACAGTCTTAGCGCTGCCAGGACGTATGGGATCATCTTACATGATGATTAGTCTTAGCACTGCCAGGACGTATGGGACCTTCTTACATGATGATTACAGTCTTAGCGCTGCCAGGATGTGCGGGACCTTCTCGCATGATTACGGTGTCAGCGTACCGAGACTTTCGGGACCTCAACAGAATACGGACTAAGTGGACTGCCAAGTACTCTTATAGAATCAGAGCCCTCCCTTTAAAAAAAAATTTTTTTTTTTTTTTTAAAGATTTTTTTTCCCTATGGAAGGACCCTGATTGATTTGCGTAAGATCCGATTTTTATCTTGAATTCCGTATCTCTATCAGTCGTTATCTAATTTATCATAAATAGTGTGGAAATGCACAGGTTTATTTGCAAAATTGTAAATTTGTGCAACTTCTCGTAAATGGCGTGAGAACACACATTTTTGTTTCCAGGTTGTTGGTTTTTTTTCTTAACTTCGATTTTTAGTGAAGATTCTGAAAAAAACTTCTATTTTTAGTCGTGGAGGGATTTGCAGATCTGGGTCCGTGAGCAGATGGTTGGTGGGTGCCACTTGTAGGTCCTACTTCTTTTCTCTCCCTCTGTTGTTTCTGTCCATCTGTCTTTATCTTCCCTGCATTATCTGACCTTTATTGTGTCCATGTGCTTCTTTTTAGGGGATTACAGTCGGCTGAAGATGAAATATGTCCGTGCTGTGTATGTGTGAAAGTATGCTTGTGTGTATGAGTGTTTGTATGTTTGTGTATGTGTATGAGTGTTTGTATGTTTGTGTATGTGAATGAGTGTTTGTGTTTGTATGAAAGTGACTTTTCGTCAGTATTGAAAGAGAGAGAGGGAGAGAGAGAGAGAGGGAGGGAGAGTCCAAAGTTGTCTGTGACTGGGTTTTGATCATTCTTACTCGAGGTTCTTCCCGTTACATTTATTTATTTATTTATTTTATTTGTGTGCTGGTTTTTTTTTATAACTTGCATAAATTTGTTTCTAATGCCAGAGTGTGTGTACTGTAATTGACAATGTGTGTAGTTTTTAAAAAAGTTTTAGTAAGAGTTTACGGCACTTGCAACACAAGAAGGTCATAAGTGCTGAAGATTAGAGGTGTTACAAAAGTAACAAACGCGAAAAAGAAGTAGGAGAGATATAGACGATAGATGTTTGATAGGAATGAAGGAGCAAACCACACCAGAGCACCCACCAACCACCTAAGGATAAGACTCCTGTGAAAGAAAACGTCATAATTTCACAATGGATTTACACTATGGGATCACTAACAACCTTCTTTTCAGGGTTGTTGGCGGGTGCTCTGGTCTGTTTTGCTCCTTCATTCCTATCAAACACCTTTCGTCCTGATCTCTCCAACTTATTTTTGTGTTTTTTACTCTCTTGTAACGCCTCTAATCTTCGGCACCTGTATGGCCTAATTGTGTTGCAGCAACTGCTTCCGTAAAGCTTTCTTTTTAAATCAAGAGTCTTGTTTTTGTAAGGCAGCTATTTTTTTCTACCAGTACAGTATAGTTACCATCTGATTCATGACCCTGTTGAAGTCTTCGCTTTAGTCCTACTGGCGTCTGTGGTGTAGCGGTTAGGTGCTTCTCCATTGCATTCAGGAGACCTGAGTGTGAATCCGCAGTGGGGAGAATTTGTATGGAGCATCTTCTATCTGATCTATGTCTCTCTGCTGGTGAAATGAAATGGTATAGGTTTAACGCCCCTATCAACACTATAAGGTTATTTAAGGGGTGGGACCTCCTAGTTTAACGTCCGTCTCCAATAGGATCGAGCCAAGTGGGAAGTTCGTGTAAAGTGCCTTTCCCAAGGACACAACGTTGGATGGAACTGAGGCTCGAACCCCCGAACTCGCAATCTCACGATTATGAGTCCTCTCTGCTGGGATGTTGTATCCCTCTCAGCCGAGGTTGACTCCGATAGGAAAGGTTGGAGCCTGTCTCTATAATGGTCTAAATTGTATTGTTCAGGGCGTAAAAAAAACCCTGTATTTTAAAATCTTTTACCTAAACATTTCTTATCCTGAGGTTTGCGGAAATTTTGAAATTTACAGATTTTTTATGGAGAGCGGTCAAGTTTCCAAAAATTGAAATGAGGCCGTAATTTCTTAATGCAAAGTTCTCTCCCCACCCCACCCCCACCCCTCTTTTTGGACCCATCCATATTATAGCTCAGCAGGAAACCACTTGAACAAACAAGCAGTCGGGGCCCATGCGAGGCTCTTATCTTAGTCTTAAAAGATGACATAGTTGAGCAAGTGAGTAAAATAAATACAAGGTACTGGGCATCATCTGGGATGAGTGTGTGAGAAAATAAAAGGAGAGACATTTTTAATGCACTGTGTAACATGCACTTAACGAAACACACGCACAGTGAAATACGTACATAGCAAATCAATTTTCAGGTCCCAAAGTTTTCTAATAGACGTATTATATTCTTTGTATTTAAAATAGAACTATGTATCAAGCGAAACTGGCGCATAATGAAAAGATTTCCACGCACCGCTGATTTCACAATGTGTGTACTAGACTGTAGTTCTGTTGAAGTGATGTTTTATACATAATGTATGGTACAACTGTGGTGTTTTATACATAATGTATGGTACAACTGTGGTGTTTTATACATAATGTAGGGTACAACTGTGGTGAAATGATAGCTGCAGATTTTGAAATTATTTTTATCTGATTTTATGCCTAGCTTTTGCTACTGCATATCGTTATGAAATGTGAATTCAAGTATGATTAGAAAAATCATAAGCCTCTGTTTTTATAAATTTTATTTGAACTGAATAGACTTGAATTGAAGTGTGTGTGTGTGCGTGTGTGTGTGTGTGTGTACATTTAATGAGGAATGATCACAAGTTGTAAATCCATCCTGGGTAAAAGAAGAGGTACTTGGTACAGAAGACAGTGGATTCCGCTTTAATTTAAACGGAACAGGGTTAATCCGAAATGACCCCCACCTCCCTGAAAATTTTTTTTCAAATTCCCCAATTTTTTGTTCTCTGTTTGAGCAACTTGTCTAGTCTAAATGGAAAACCAGGCAGGCTAAAGTAAACCAAAGAAAATCCGGTGGTCCGGCAGATTTTGATTTGTTTAAACGGATTCCACCATACTCGTAAAGTACTTGGTCACCTGTAGATTGGTAGGAGATTGTTTCACAATGCTATCAGGTCTGCTGTGCCATCATTTTTTTAAAAGTACAGCAAGCGAGCATGTATGCAGGTTTTACAATTTTACAGGGGAACCAAAAAACTGAATGTTGTTACTAAGAAAAACAAACTCTTTGCTAACATCCCAAGTCTATATTTTTAAGAATACGAATCATTTTGATTGTAAGTATAAGCTCCTTTTTAGGTTTAAAGCAAACTTTGTTTTCTTGGTAAGAACATTTGCGTATACCGTACTTTTAATAATGACTAGTGGGATTATAAGATAGATTGGATTATATAAGATAGATTGTGAAGTGCATAGAGCCTTGCTGTAGAGCAGGAATCTTCGTTATTCTTATGCTGCTATTATTATTATTATTATTATTATTATTATTATCATTATTATCATTATTATTACTTAGTGATGCTTGGTTACATGCTGAAACTTAATATGTTGTCCAACCTTTTAAATGCATTGTTATTATAATATATGGATGATTATTATGACATTGATACATTGTTACATGCTGAAACTGATTTTTTCAACCTTATGATTGTTATGCATTGTTATGAAATGAATGATGTCATATTAAAATGATGTAAGAGAAATGAAGTTCTTCCTTTAGTTTTAATTTTAGTCAGAGATTTACGGCACTTGCAACACAATGAGGTCAAATAAATGCCGTTGTTCTTTCTTAATTTCATTTTGCCGTTTTGACTCGGTACATGAACTGATAGTGGATGTTTGTCGGATGGTCTAGTGTGGCTCGCTCCTTCTTTCTTATCAAACGTCCATCATTTTTATTTTTCCTCCTTCTTCCTCTTTCTTTCCTATCAAACATCTATCCTTCTTATTTTTCCTCCTCCTTCTTTTCTGTGTATGTTACTCTCACTCTAATCTTCAGCACATATATATGACCTCTTTGTGTTGCAAGTGCCTATAAACTTTCACAAAAACTAAAAAATTTAATGAACTAATGACGGGTGGTTGGCAGGTGCTCTAGTGTGGTTTGCTCTTTCTTTCCTATCACATATATATATATATCTATCGTCATCTCCCTTTCTTTTTTGTACTTGTTACTCTCTTGTAAAAATTCTAATCTTCGGCACTTATATGACCTTATTGTGTTGTTGCAACTTTAATTACCCCCCCCTCCCCGAAAAACAAACAAACAACCAGAACAATAACAAACAGACAAAAAGAAACCCAAGACAGACATAACAAACAAACAAAAACTTCTAATCTTCTTAAAAATATATGACCTATTTGTTTTGAAAGTGCTGTAAACATAAAAGAACCAAAAACAAC